ATAAGTAAGTAAGTAAAAGTAATATATTATATGATATATGGAGATATTAAAAGCACCTAATGTTAACATTTTGGGGTAATATATACATAAGTGACAGAAGAATGCAAACAATTGTTCATGTACACAATCAGTGGTACTTTGGCGTGTCAATAAAGAGACAGAAATATTAGAGACAGTAAAACGACGAAAGTTGGGGTTTTTTGGTCATATTCTGAGGCATCCGGAAAATTACGAACTACTCAAATTAATCATTAATCATCATCAATTAATCACTGATTAATTAATCAGTGCACGGACTAATTAAAATTATTTAGAAGAATTGAAGGCAGAAGTGGCCCTGGGAGACGAAAGTTATAATGGCTGAAGAATTTACGTGAATATCTATGTAGTAAACCCAAAAAAAAAAGATTGATAACGTTTCAGTTTTTTTTTTTATTAAAATACATCAATTTATAATTTTCGAAACATCACTGACTCATTTTAACAGAACGAACTGTTGTTATTTTTCGCAAAACATATCACAACTACTGCAGAGCCCATTTACTAAAAACATAAAACAGCTTTGCAAGCAAAATATTAAGATATTCAATGGAACTTTAAAATTCTATGCAAATACTTGAAAATAAATTTGCAAAAGTTTTCAAAATTCAAACAAAAAAATCGTTTAAAAAAGGGATAGAGAGAAAGTACTACTGCCTCACAGACCTTGAGTTTAGCTTACATTCAGAGTCACGCATGAAAGGATTGTTAGCAATAGTGCAGTACAATAGTTTTCTAAGAGACAAAAGAAAACCAAATATTGTGGTTGCAAAAGAAAGTCGAAACTTGGCTTGGCTTAAAAGGATTGCAATTCAAATTAAGCTAAAAACAAACGATGACTAAAGCACGCCTTCCTCATCCACATCCACAAACACCGACACTTACCCATTGCAGACTTCGTGTTTTTATTTCAGGGGAAGTTTACAGCACGAGTTTTCATGTTTGTCGGTTAGTTCAATAGCGCTTACTCGATATCCAGCATCCAGAATACCAAGTTCAGTTTGAATAGAGCACCACTT